CCCTCGTGATCATTAAGGCAGAACATAAGCAAATAGCAAGAATTACAATAAACAGTAAAAGAGTAGAAAAAATTTGACAAAATTAGTGAGAAAAAAAAGGCGAAATGATAGCATAATTTTTTTTTTCTCCGCAAAATAGGACAAGTAAGGAAAACCAGTTTCTGGGTACGAAAAAAGAAAAAGAGGAAAACAACGGGAACCTGGATTATCACAACAGATAGTTCAATCCATATGCGCCAGTCTTTTCATAAATATCTGCACTTACACAAGACTTATCATATAACATACACAGTTTATACCCATATGAAATAAAAAAAGTTAGTTAGAGAAAAAAAAAGAACAAAAACAATGAGTAATTCATTATTCCGTTTTTGAAAACTTAGTGTTAATCAACGAAATTTTGGCTGCTTTAGTTTCCACTCCATTCCTCTCTAAAATGACATCACAAATCGGGTAAACAGGAAAGAAAATTCCCCAAATTAATCATTCTTAAGTTCACCTTCCCATCCTTGGCCAACTCTTTCTTTATGCAATGTTTCATAAATTGTAATCACCCTGATCGACATGATATCTTTTTTCTTCTTTTTTTCTTCTCCGGTATACAGCAGCCAGAAATAAAAAAAAAGAGAAAGAAGAATACAACACACTTATTAAAAGAAAGAAGTAATTAAAATACAATAGAGAATAGTGATTTTTTAATCTACATTATCTGTAGAAAGTAAAGAAGTTTTTTTTTTCTTGAAGGTTTTCTGCAGTGTTGTATAACCGATAATAAGAATAATAATGAAAAGTTGGACACTTCCAGAGAAGAAACTGAAGAAATAAGGCACAAACAAGTAAATATTATTGGCTCTGTAAGTCTTCACCAAAAAAAAACTCAATTACAACAATAAGTCTATTACTTACTGCATTTTCATCTAAACAATTCCCTTTTTGAAAATATCAAAACTGACAATTACATAATTCTAAACGCTTTGCTGAGCTAAAAATTTCACGCTGACTATACATTGAGCGTCTTCTTTTATATAGCTGAAGATCATTTAAGCCAATAACAGTTGAGGTTATAGTACGTAAAGTGATCATCAAACTTGACTATACTTTAGTCCAGCCTCTTCATTACAATAACAGTTTTGGCAGTGAAGCTTCGAATCTCTGACACGAACATCCGCACCTCGGGTACCGTTCCCCAATGCAGCATTGCACACATAACAACGGAAACAGCTTAAATGGTAGAATAAATTCAACGACTCGATTATCATTGCAGCTCCTCGTCCTAAAAAATAAATTAGACGTCACACAAATTACTACAAAGCGTTCATCAATCGCAAACTCTAAACGTAAAAGAAACTAGTAGCATTTAATTTATTTAGTACATCACTTCTAATACGGAAAGAAAACATTACTATACTCAGTAACACTAAAAAAAAAAAAATAAACATCAACCAACCCAGCTCCATTTGGCAATGTGAACACCGATGTTTGCCACTCACAGCGACTACAGGATCTTTTATTTTTGAGTCTTCAGCGTATAAATCTTCTTCATCTACAATTAGCTGATTACATCAAATAATTAATAACGAAATAAAAAACAAAAATAACTAAGCAACATATTTTAGCCCATAACGCTGAATGAACAGAAGCCACCGCAAAATGTACAAAGAATAATTTTCTGAAAAAATACTTTTGGTGGGTACTGGTCGAGTACTTGATGTATTTCGGCCAGTAGTCTGCTTATACATCACCTGTAAATGTAGACATCAATAAATTATTGGCGAAAAAAAATATGAAGAGGTAACGAATACCTCAGTTTTTTACTGTAAAAAAAATTTAATAAAGAGTTTTTGACAAGGTCTTTGTTAGGACCATTAGTATTATTTTCTGCTTCAACAGTAGCAATAAACCTGATAAATAAAAAATGGTTAATTACTCAAAAACTACGCATACGGTGTGAAAAAAGAAAAAAACAATGAAATAAAAGTTACTTAAACACCAACCTCACTTTCTTTGCTAATATATTGATTCTTTTCAGACATATCGCCTCTGCCAACCACTGAGTTCCCAACAGCCGAGCCAACAAGCCCGTGATCAGCTTTGTTCAGTCGTTTTGCTTCGGTTATCCCAACGGGTGGCAGATGGCGTGAGGCGGGTTTTGTCGTAGTCCTAATAAAAAAAGAACATTTTAAACCCTGTCTCAGTCTTTTATAACTTTTCTAATTAAAACATTTTGAAATATTAGATAGCATTACCTACTGACTAAAATGCAGAACATGAGCGGTACAAAATATTAGAAAAGAAGAAACTGTAAACCACTAACGTTGTTGTGTTAACTGTTTCTCTTGCTGACGAACTGTGTACAACACGAAATTTTGGATCCTCTTCACTGACTGCCTTCGTCCCGCTTGGATACCGCTGCTCCTCGATATACTGCCTCCATTCATGAGAATCCTACGCAGAAATAGCTGATCAAATTCACTCAAATCACTTCAGCACAATTAAATTGCTTAAATAACCAAAAGCTGCCGCATGCTTCAAAGTAAACGGTGAATTAATTTCCATTAGCCTTAATTTCTAAACTCAGATTTGATAATTCAAGACATAATACATAATAAAAAGTGCTACAAAACTAGGTTCAAAGTGCCACCAAAAACCCACTTCATAATGAACTGGAATAGACAGGCAGTACATATTATTTTAACTACTGTAAAGGAACTGATGCAAATAAGCGCAACACAGAATAAGGCAAAGAATTCACAAGAAGCTAATTTTGATGACCTAATGGTTTCATAATATGGCCTAAAAGTAGTAGCTCCATTGCTCCTGCTAGTTCTGTTTTTTTTTTTTCGGAGAACAAACACTTTTCGTAAAAAACCAACAAAAAGTCCGACCAAAAAATCACAAATCTAAATTGTCTCTTGCTCAATTAAGACTTCTTTCAAATGTCAAGTAGTCCAAAAAATTTTTTTTCATACAAATTTCACTGTTTGTTTTTAATGATCAGATCTGCGCGGCTTTCTCCTTGGCTCGTCAGACAAGCTGCCACCATATCAAAAGTTTCAGACCAATAAACAGTTATCACGCAAAACTTCTGATGAAAATCTAAAAGCGCCACACAAGACCAACTGATAATGCACGGTTGGCAAATTTGAAGAACACTTAAGACTGCAATAAAGTTCAAAAAATATATATTCAAAAAAAACTTTTCAGAAGATAACATTTAGCAACAGCAACTCCATGACACCCAACAAACATTAAGATTTTGTAAAAACGAAATAGTAAACCAAACTAACCTTACAGATAAACTAATACATTAAAAAATGAGAAAAAGAAGAATTTTGCGCCCTTCAGGAGCTCCTTTCAGTTAAGAGACAAAAACCGCTAATAATTTATAAGAATTTAAAAGATGCAAAACAAAGTTGGTAAAAACTATTGGCTTCAAAAAACAAAAAAATTTAGGACCTAAAAAAAACTAGCTAGTTTTTTCGCCGAATACATTAGACCTATCAAACTAACTAACCACTGATTCGACAAGTTCAGGTGCAGCAAAAGTTACTTCTTTTAAATGCTGTGGCGCTGCACTCAAAACTCCTTCTCCCCGTAATTTTGGCGACACTGAACGACTCATATACCGCCGATTTACTGTATACTTATTCGAGTACTTATGACGGCGTACTTCAGGGCAAATCCTGCGCTCTGCTTTTGGAATAACAGAAACACTCTCGTGACCATTCCACTGTGTTTCTGGCTTTTCACCCCGTAACACTGGCCGACTTTTTCGAACCTCACTGTATACGTCATCGTAAGAACTACTGCGAAGACCCTGCGGTGCTAAGACCTCATCATTTATTCGCCTTGAAGTATAATGGTATGTTGCAGGAACAGCTCCGACGCCCACTTTAGCAAGCAAAGATCTTCCTTCCGGATCCGGTCTTCCACTCAGCTTGATCTTATGAACTCTTTCCACCGGTTTACGGTTCACCTTTTGACCCGATTCCGCATCTTCAAACTCGGGTGCGCGATGTAATGAAGATTCGAGAGCATCAGAATCTGACTCATTACTGTGGCGTTCCGCAACATCCGGGAAAGATATTTCTTGCGTCTGACGAGGTGTTATTTCACGCACCTCAGATGCACCAAATGTTACACGTTTATCCTCGCTAGACGAGTTTGCTGACTTTTTCACTTCCTTTTTCAACGTCTCATTATCGGATTTCACTAGTTCGTAGTCCATATCTGGTTCGTCAATAAATTCGAGACTTCTAGAATACTTTTTCCAATGTTTTCGACTCTGCTCACTGGGAAGTTTGAACAGTTTTTGCTGAAAAGAATGCTAAAATTTCATTATTCTATTGCATTCGAATGTTAATGCTTGCAATATCGTCTGCAAGCGAAATAAAAGATAACGTTCCTAGCAGATTGGTGCACTCCTAACTGGAAGCATAAAAAGAATAAAGTGCTGCGTTAACGTTGCGATGAAGTGGACAGGTGTCATGCATAACTGTTTCAGTAGCATTCTTGATGCCAGTAAGGGATAACTGAAAAATTCGGAAGTAATTTTAAAATCCTGCCAACAAACATTAAGAGTTTCAATAGCAAAACACTGCTTTTGTACAGCTCCTTATACATCTGCTTCTGTACAGAAGAAGAACGGCTAGGAACGCTAGAAGCATCTACAACTACCATCGTTCTTTAATCTTCAGTGATTTCCAAAAACAGCACATTCATAATTATGTCGTTTATTCCAAGATGCTTATCAGGCTTATTCTGTGACGTCTTGGTGCAAAGAATTATCCAGTAAATATTTCTGTAACTGAAAACTCAAGAAGAACGCCAAAAGTCCTGATAACTGTAGACAAGAGGCATAAATTTTAGCTCCCGTAAACTGTCACTTAAACTTCCCTTCAATACCATTTCCAAATCACCAGAAAACCCCAAGTGCAAGTATGGCCAAAAATTTATTGCAATCCTCATGCACTTGAATCACATTATGCGTGCTTCAGTGAATAGTAGTTGTGCGCTGAAGAAGTAAAGTAAAACTAAAAAACTGGAATTATGTTCCAGAAATAATAAAAGAATAAAAAAATGTGAAGAAAGTATGACAAGATTTTTAAAAAATTCAAATGAAATATGAGTTAACAGTAAAAAGTTTAAAATTTCAATTATTAGTAGTGATGTATTGCCAGAACTGATTTCATCTACTGCAACTTCATGTTCAGTTAAAAAGTAAAAACGTAGGAATAACAAAAGAAGCAAGTGGAAGATATATACCCGTTTATTAGTGGTTTAAAGTTAGATGTTTTAAAGAAAAAAACCAATAAAATAAACCCTGCATCATAACACTACTGAAAGTGATGTAAAAAAGGTAAAGCAATCAAGGATGAATTTGCATTAATTGATCTTCAGTGCATGTTGTTCGCAAGCCTACACTGAAGATTAACCTGTTCAAAGGATTGATAGCTTGGTTAATAGAAAACATAAAATAAATAAAGTTCCTGGTCTGAATTGAAAGTACGGCAAAGAAAAATGAATATAATAACTAAAAATTGATAAGCAAACCAAAAAAAAAATAAAAATCCTATAAAAGCAACTCTAAGAATTCAAAGTACTGTTAAATCACTTAAGCAAAAACTAACCATTTGAGCTTTCATATGATTTTCAGGTAGCTTCACTTCTTCTTGCTCCTTCTGAAATCCAGTAGGTTAACAGCTAACGAAAAAAAATGTTATATGGCTTCGGCAGCATCACCAAAAAATGACATCCAATTAAAAGTTTCATCTGTTTGAATATTCAAAAGCAGTAAATAAATTTTAAATTCAGTTTCATTTAGACAAACAGATGCCAAATACCTTCACAGACGATAAAACTGTCACTGGAATACTTTTGGCCGGCGACACGTCAAAATTCCTCAGCACCTTTGGTTCTTCCATTTCAGATCCTTTTCGAGTTGATGAAACAAAGTCTGAATTTGATTTCATACATCAAGACAATCATAAAAAATAACCTGAACAAGACACTCAAAGTTCGCGTCATTTCTCAACCTTCGTCAGTCATAACTTCCAAAAAGGTCATCCAACAGGATTCTACCGAACAAGAAAAACCCAAATGTAATAAACTTTCAAAAAATTCCTAAATTTTCAAGAAAAAGATAATAAATATACCACCAGCAACTGTTGGTGTAGCAAAGATTACCGTCATCTCCACTATCCATAAGGTACTTCCGTCTGTGCAATTCTGCAGACTTGCCCCTCTCAACTTCAGGAATAAAATCGGCCAACTTTCCCGGCCCGGGTTTTTCATGGAAAGACGTGACCCGATAGTCTGAATCCGAAATAGGACTATTACGTGTTGAACTTGACGAAACAGAAATATTCCTCATCCGAGTATCAGTTTCAGGCTGATATGTAACTGAGGAAGATCGTTCTGTTTCCCGGCTTATTGAAACAGTTTTTGGCAGTGTTGGTGGTGGCTTACGATCGTTAGGCTTTTGCTGTTCTGAAACAAAATTAATTCACCTATTAGTAATTAAGATTTTTTAAGCAATACCGTGCCAATGCAAATTAAAGTAAATAACTATATTCTCCAATTAAAACATTCAACTATTGAGCAGTTGACAAAATGCTTTGAAGTCTAATGAAATAAAAGAAAATAAAGGTTCAAAATTATAAAACAAGTCTTAGACAAAAATCCGTTTCTCTGTCACAATAATACTGTAAAAATATAAGTCAGCAGACATTTAAAGAACCTTTAACAACTATGGAACAGCATTGCAACTGTAAAATTCAATCAGTAATGCAGAGTTCATCAATTAAATAACATTTTACAAAAATAACCAGAAAACTCTGCTTCTAAAAAAGTCTTTGCTCGCTAAGATAATCAACTTCACAAATCGCATCAAGAATTTTGCTGATGCTGTGACCAACTATTAAAAAAACTCTTTACCGAAAACTTCCTTTTGGCTGCTCCATTTAGAAGACTGATAATGCTTTTTCTGCTCCTGAACCTTATGAATTACAGTTTGCTCTTCTATTTTCTCATTAAACTTGGCTCGCTTTTCATCGAACGATGTTGAGCCTATTGATTTTACTTCTGTTGCAGCCGACGATAAATTTGTATGCTTTGAAGGTGAGCTGAC